CTGGAGGCGGATGCGAAGGAGCGGCCCGCGCGGGGCGCCGCGGACGGTAAATGACTAAATCCAACGCCCGCTGCCGAGAGCGGCCGCCCGCCAGCCGGCCTGCAGCAAGTTTGTTCAACTCGACCGGCTGTAACCAGAGCCAGGGCGGGGGTGGGGCGTGAGGCCCGGCTCCCCAAAGACTGGAAGAAAGAGGTTAGTGAAGCTAGGGATTCGAGCCCGCTGGCCTCTCCTGCAGCCCGGCTCCCCCCTTCCTGGCCTTGACCGGAGGAGTTTTACCACGGCTGCAGCTTTGTCGTTTGTCAACATGCACTACAGCTGTTTTCTAAAACCACGCTTGTGAAGGGGGAAAAAGGCAACATTCATGCTGGTGCAGAAAGGGCCCTTTGTTCACACACCAATTCGCTAATATCGCTCCGGGGGGATTATTTACCATTTCAAGCTATGTTTGGCATATTTTACCAAAAACGGCAGGATTTTAAGTGCTGGGGTTCTTACCGCGAAGGTTTTAAACAAGTTAGGTATGAAGTGTGTAACGCGTTTACAAGCTAAATGCTAGTTTACTGTGAAGATGATTTTCAATATACATTGTGGCTACATATTTCATGATAGCCCCCCAGAACAGCTGCAAAAATAACGTCCACGCTAATGCAAGGATACTTTAGATTCCTTCATGATAACTCACTGAAGTAAAGGTTATGAATGTCTCCAAAGGGCCTCCAACTACCTCAGTGCAAATGACACTGGAATCCACTAATCCCAGAAAGGGCCAGAGGTTATTCTGGGTTCAGTTTCTCCATAAACGTGAACATTCTTACAAGTGCTCTGTGTTGAAAGAGTTCTTGTTTATCCCTTTATTCATTTATTTTGCCCTACTTTAAAATGTTGCTACTGCTTTTCCCAACAGCTATTTTGAGGGTATGAAACAGGAGGCACTGAGTAGGGCAGTGAAAAGACTAGGGTAAGAAGCCCTTGGAATTCAAACAGCTTTTTTTATTATGGGCCCTTGTTGCACAGATGAAAAGAGTGTATTAGTTTCTCATGCTCAGATAGGGTATGATAGGAGGCATTCTTTCTGTAGTCACTGATTTTTTAAAAAAATCTAATTTCCCTTTGCACTCAATATAATTCCTCTTTTAGTTTCCAGAACCTAAGCTATCCTGAAATATTTGAGTACAGGATCACCTTTTCACGAGCCAATAGAAAATATATTTTCTCATAGTTCTCTCCAGTGACCACAGATCAAAATCAAAGACATATGATGGATGCATGGGTAAATAAAGTATGGCATATATGTACAATGACAAATTGTTCAGCCTCAGAAAAGGAGAAGGAAATCCTGTCATGTTATGACAAGAATGAATCTTTGGGGCATTTTACTAAGTGAAATTAGCCAATCACAAAAACCCCAAATACTGCATTTCCCCACTTAGGTAGCTAAGTCAAACTGTTAGAAACAGAAAGTAGAATGGTGGTTCCTAAGGGCTCCAGGGAGGGGGAAGTGGGGAGTTGTTCAACGAGTATAGTTTCAGTTTTTCAAGATGAAAAAGTTATAGAGATCTGTCACAAACAAGGGGCATATAGTTAACGCTACTGTAATACACAGTTAAAGAATGGTGAAGATGGTAACTTTTGTTATGTGTTTTTACCACAGTACCAAAAAGAGGGAGAGAGACACTGGGAAGTGGCAGGAAGGGAGACAGGATGCATTTTCCCCTCAGCTATTATGTGAGCCAGACCTGTGCTGAGTAGGCATGGGAGATACTAAGATACGTAAGACTCAGTCCTTACCCTTGAGAAGCTAAGTCTACTACTCATGGTCACTGTGCTGTGAATATTAATGCACCCGATCCTTTTGAAAACATGCTGGTTCCTTAAATAATTATAATACAAGCTAATGAATTTAGTAATAGAGGTCAGTACAAACTGCAAGAGTAAAGTCCAGTGAATATTAAGTAGAGGCATGTGCCTTCTGTGTCATTAGAGCAAGTTCATAGGGAAAGTAAACATTGTCTTAGGTCTTAAAAGATGAAGAGCAGTGTGCTAGCTTTGAAGGAGAGGAGGCTGGAAGGGAAGGAGTACTGGAAAGAATGGACAGATGTCATATGCAAATCACATGCAAAGTTGTAAAGACGTGGAAGATCATGGCTTGTTCTGGGAAGAAGAGCTGACATTAGTGCTGGCAAGCAAGTTCCTTTATTACAGCAGGTTGAAAAGAGAGTGGTAGAGACTTCCCAAGAGATTTTCAAAGGCTGGCCTGGTGATATTCAAGTTATAGATTGGGAACCCCTAGACCAACCTCTGTATATATGACAAAGCCTGGCTAGATGCTGACCAAAACCTGTTTTTTTTTCTTCCAGGACCTATAGCTAAACCATATTTACCAAAGATTTTGCATGTGGGTAGGGCCATATGAGATTAGTTCTCATCAGTGGAACATAATACCTGCTGAGCAGTTAAGAGAAGATATGCCTTCTCCACTCTCTTTTATCTTTCCATCTACCAACGGGATGAAACCAGGTCAACCTTGACACCATGTGTTTGAATTAGTTGGTGCACAGAGTGGAAGAAACTTGGGTCCCTAAATGACTGGGTACAGCAAAGCCTCCTCACAGCATGCATTGTAACATGATGTGAATGAGAGATCTTTATTGAGTTAAGCCAGACATTTTGAGGTCATTTATTACAGCAGTTAGTGTTACTTATCTTGGTTAATACAGCATCACAGACTGTCCATTTCCTGATATCTTAATGATTTTTTTCATAAGACATTTTTATAATTATTTCCCCCTTATTTACAATTTTTATTTGGTTTATATATTTGTAGTTTCTTTCATACATAGCATTATTATTATGATTTTTAACCAGGGTGTAACAAATTGAATTATCATGTTCTTTAAACTCAAGGTCACTGGGGAACACAGAAGGAAGGGCTAGAAAACATGTTTTCCTATTTTCTTAGCTGAAATGCTGCCATTTCATATTCATTTTGATAAATATTCTTATCCTCAGGTAAAATGTAGCCACATATGAAAGTAAGGTACATGGGAGGTAACTCAGTGAGCTATGATTGGTCCCCAGATCATGAATATTAATATGCTAGCCTTTAACAAACATGCTGGTTCTTTAACGCCTAAAGAGGAAGCAAGTGTTAGTAAGGGCAGGTCTGAGGAACTAGGCCTAGCATAAGAGTTTTCCTACTGTGTTTCAAGGAAACTAGGTTTCCACAGAGGAATCGTCAAGGGGACCCGAAGAGGTAGGGGAGAAAAATGCTTAGAGAGGTCAGAGCCTCTACTCCTCCCATCTCAAAGTAATCACAGCAGTCTTATTGACATCTTTTTTAAAATTTTTATATTAGAGTTTCATGTTCATTTTCTTTAAAAAGAGAGCTTTCTAATGTTAAAAACTAACAAAATTTTAAGACTACTTAAGTAGAGCAAAGGCCTCCAAAATGGGGTACAGGAGATGACCCCTGAAATTCCAGAATTAGGTATTTGAACTTATATTTACAAGCATATGTATTTTTTTAACCAATAAGAGGGAAAGAAATTAAGCTTTACTAATGTTTAATATGAGGATTGGCACTGGCACCCCCACTTGGTCTGTAAGTAGGCAAGCACCCGGTGTTCTTGGGAGTGGGTGGGAGGACAGCACAGGGTGGAGGAGGAGAGGCCTCTCTCCTTTGTTTACTTTCAACATATTGCCACATGTTGCAGTTTTTGTATCTAAGTGGATTTATGGA